GCGAGATGTGGTCAGGCTTAATACCGCGGCATAGGATATCGCGTTTAAACTACGAATTTTTCCGTTTCGTGTCTTATAATTTTTACGCGTCAAATTTATTTAGTTAGGTACGTATTATTGTAAACACATGTAATATGTTCATATGTAATTTTATGTCATAATGAAAAATATGTACAATTTTTCATTATGACATTATGAATAAAACTAATTAAGTTATAAAAATGTAAAAACGCAATTTTATCGCAAACAAAAGAGGACCGCCGATAAGAATTCGGCGGGGGTGGTGGAGGGCCTCTACCAGTTGGTCTGTTTTTATCGGATAAAAATTTAATTCAAATCTAAAAGAGGGGCATCATTTCTTTTATAACCAGAAAATGCAAAGTTATAATAAAAATATAGAAAACCAAGCTTATCGAGAACAATCTACCACAAATTTTGTTGGCAAAAGGAGTACAACGTAGCTTGTCAGCAAATTTTTATATTTTGGAATTATACATATAATTTATACATATGTCAGCAACGAAAGAATGTGAATCGAAGTAGTTGATTAACGATAAAAAGACTTGTTAGACGACTTTAGGCTGGCAGATAGTTTCTTTATTTAAATCTGACGTTTCGACCATACAGGTTGTGGTCCTTCTCAAGAAATTCAACAATCTACAAGTTTAATTACAGGACATTGCGACTCAAAAGTATGTTGACCACAACCCGTATGGTTGTCGTAACATCGGATTTCAATAAAGAAACCATCTGCCAGCTTAAAATCGTCTAAAAATTCTTTTTATCATTAATCAACTACTGGCGATTCACATTTTTTCGTTGTTAATACTTTTTATCTGCAATATTTTTAGTATTCTTTGAATAAATACGCCACTCACACGAATAAATTTTTTGAAGCTTCGAAGTAATTCAAAGTTTCGAAGTTCGAATGTTGAAACCTTTGCAGGAAATTACCAGTCCTACCAAATAACACAATTAGTCGAAAATAAGTTTTATAAATTATATAATTGGTTTTAATACAATTCCTGCTGATATACTTGATGTATATTAAAAATATTAAATGTGATAATTTGACAAATTATAGTCTTCTAAGCATGTTGGTATCTCGCTCCCGCTAAAGCCTCGTCCACATAGAAGTCGTAAAGACGTAGTCGTAAGAATAGTCGACTGTGATTGGTCAATTCTTATGTGCCTGACGGAATTGACCAATCACAGTCGATTATTCTTACGACTACGACTTTACGATTTCTATGTAGACGAGGCTTCAAAGCGCGCTCCCCGAATGACCCTCTGGCAATGAATAGTTCCGATATGAACCACAGCATGGACACGAACCACGTACCGTTTACCGAGTGTAACGGACGTAGTTGACGTCTACTTTCTCAGGGGGCGTATTATCTCTGAAGCTCAGTGACCGCTCGCGGTATCGGAGCCGTCCGACAGGTTATAGCACCGCCAGCCATGGACGATGTTCTCGTGATCGGTTTCGCGATTTCGATACGATAATCCCGATATCTTCCCATGTTCTCGCGGACCGCCGCGATTGCATCATCACCATGGTCTCCGCAGCCCCATTTGTTTCGCTGTTTCTCTTCCTGCTGAACGCCCGGGCGGCTCCCGTGCCGGATGCCCCGAAACTGCTGGTCGTCTCCTACGATGCGTTCAGGTGCAAGCATTTCCGTGATAACGTAGTGGCATACCGAAATGAGTTTTTAAGATTCAGAAAATTACCGCTCACGCGAATAGTAACGGTCCTGGTCGAGCGTGTAAAAATTAGGCCGGATACAAATCTGAAGATAATTACGTCGGACCGTTAGTAATTATGTAGGACAAGTATGGTCCCAGTAAGCAAATTGATGATACCTGTCCAGACTCGTTCAGATACTGTAACACATTTAATATCGTCCCAGCTAACAGTTTACTTGCAGATTGTTAACAATCTGGGGGGAAACAATCTCTTGCAAAGCGAGTCTGCCAAATCCAGGGCCTACCGTGTCCTCAAGTGCGCCCCAATTGCAACTAAAAATTGTAATCTCGGTCTGATGTCAAATTGAGCGCAACATGAGAGTAGATTTGTCAATCGCATACTTCCAACAGATTTGCACCAAGTGCCCAGTAAATCTGTCCGCAAAAACTAGCAGGATTTACTGTTTCTATTTGTTTTACCGTTTTCGTTTCTTTTATTACGAAAGATGTGTAAAAATGTAGTAATCCTTTAAGGTTTCTGCACGCTCGTAGACGAGAGTGCGAGAGAGCTCACTTCAGCACCAAAAAGATGATCGAAGAATCTCATGTGGATGTGTTAATTTGTAACACCGCGTGCGGTTGTCTTCCTACGAGAAAGTGTCATGCGTCCGTTTAGCAGGAAAGTTACAAAATATAAATTGCCAGCAAACAACAAAGTTTGCTGCCAACCTGTTATATGTCAGCAGACTGCTCAGTTTTTGCCATCGATCTGCCTTCAACTTCGACAATCTTCTTCGCGATCTTTCAACAGATCTGCTCGCTATTTGCCGTCACTTTGTCGTGTAGTCTGCCAACAGACGTTGGTAAATTTTTACTACAATTTTGCTCGCAATGTAGTTTTCAATAACAAAACGTGTTTCTCATCTGCAACTTTTCGGAAAACAGAATTTGTTTGCAGATGTTGCAAAATTATTATTAGGGGTGTGTCCAAGTTCTAGTTCCGAGAAATGTGGCGACAAAACGGCAGAGTCTGCTCAATTTCTGCTATTATATTCTGTTACATTTCTGTTAACACTCTGTTGATAAAATTTATAGCAGACACTAATGAAATCTGTTTTAGCTTCATCTGATCCTATTCGAGTGCTGTAGAAATTTTTAACATTCTAGCAATCGGCTTGAAAACGTGTACAATTATCTAGGTGACACAACACAATTATTTTTAAATTCCGTATTTAACTAAACTTTTAGTTTTCTCAGCAAATTTTTAGATACTTTACCATTCTTTCCATGTGTGATCTCATAGGACGCCTTAGAGCGTCTGTATTTGTTGAAGGGTGAGAGAGCAAACACGCGAAGTTATATTGGACTTTATCTCACTTCTCTTTCTTCTGCATAGATATGACTACTTCGACAGAAACCTGACACCATTCATGAGCTACTTAAAGGCAAAGGGCACTCACACTGACTACATGATGAACATTTTCGTCACCAAGACTTTCCCCAATCATCACACGATGGCAACGGGATTTTACGCAGAGACACATGGAGTTGTAGATAATGAATTTTTTGATCCTAGCAAAGATAATATTACTAAGTACTCATACGAGCTGTATCATTACAACAATAACATTCTTCCTATTTGGGTACGTAGCAAGATGACAATTACAATGTGCATATTAAGCGGGTTTTACTTGTTTTATTAACAGCAGTTTTTTTATTTGATGGTTTTAGACGGTAAATGAAAAGAACGGCAGACGCAGCGGCACGATGATGTGGCCGGGCTCTGTGTTTGAATATCAAGGAACGTCACCTACTTTCGCACAAGTGTGTATTGGGTTAACACGCGAAATAATATATTTAAATAGTAAGAATATCTGTTGATTGTATTAATGAAATATTTTAGGCTTTTAATGACACGATTTCGTGGGAGAAGCGGATTGATGAACTATTATCGTGGTTTGTACATCCCACAAACCCAATAAACTTGGGGATATTATACATCGAGGACCCAGATTACCACGGCCACGTCATAGGGATAAACGGCCCCGAATTTAATCAAATTCTCAGAAAATTGGATAATATCACAAAATATATGCATGACAAAATTGATTATTACGGCTTGACAGACGATCTTAATGTGATTCACTTAAGTGACCATGGCATGGCTTCAGTCACAATGGAAAGAATAATAAATTTAACAAATTACATCAATGTTAGTGATTATACATTCGTGGGGACCTCTCCGGGATTACATATCTATCCACATCCTGGTAAGAAGTTGCTTTGCGATACTGTTTGTGTGGAATTATTATCTTTGTTACTACACCTTTTTTTAAATATTTTTAGGAAAAGAGGAAATTATTTACGAGAAATTAAAGTCTGCCGCGGAACAAACAAAAACGTTTAAAGTATATAAAAGAGAAGATATCCCGAATAAGTATCATTATGGCAATAATACTCGAGTAGGACCCATTTTTGTCATAGCTGAGGTTGGATATGCATTTCAGAATCTTTACGATACTATAGAATATTATAAACGGAAATTTAATATTACAGGTAATTTTGTACTGTCCACATACTCATTGCTATACTATATATGTGCTACTATATATATTTTTTTAACATTGTTTCGATTCAGTTAACAATCAGACAGAGTTTGGGCTGCATGGTTATAATAATGAAGCTAAAGAAATGCATCCATTCTTTTTTGCGAATGGACCTGCTTTTATGCCAAGATGTAAATTAGAGCCCTTTAACAATACGAATTTATTTCCCTTGTTTTGCGAAATACTTAATTTAAAGTGCCCCATGGTTAATGGCACTTTATCTCATATAACAAAGTGCCTTAGGACACAATCGAAAGATATATCAATATCTACGTATAAAATATTCAGTAAGTATTTCTACTAATGGTTATATTTTAATAAATGAATAATTTTTCTTTCAATATATAAACAACTTAGATTATTTAAGATGTTAATAATATTTTTCTTTAGTTGCAGTTATTATAACCACCATGTTAATAAAAATTTCGGTACTAACGACAATAATTTATAGAAAAAAACGAAAGTTAGCATATAATTATAGGTAAGTAACAAATGTATGATAGATATTGAGATCAATTTTCCTTAATTTGAAGAAATATATTTAAAAATTTTGTCTTTTTCCTTTATAATAAATTTTACTACTTTTTTAATTTTGTTTCATCTAAATGGAGAGAAACTCTTCTAAATAAGAAGTAACAAAATTATTTTAATTTTTCAGGCAATCGTATTATACATTGGGCGAATAAGATATTACGATTGATAATAACATGACATCATTTATACTTTTGTTAGATTTTAGTTAGTAAATTATTTTAATACATAACAGGGATGTTATGCGAAAGAGACATAAATTATTATGTTTTTAATCATGTGAATAGTACAAATGTAATGTTTTATTTCCCTGGATCTCCATGTTGTAAGAAAGGTCATGTTCATTAGATATAATTTAGATATTTAATGAGATTATTTATATTAGTATTGATACAGATTTTTAGATATTTAAAATGCTAAAAATTTGTTAAATTATAAAATGACATTATAATATAACAAATTCGAAACAGTATTTATCATTGATATTTATAATATACCTTAATAAATTATGATGTGCAATACTTTTGTGAGCTTATCATTATAAGCGTGTAGTACACATTTCTGAGTAAATTACAATTCATTTAGATGAACTTTTATTTTAGAACATTACTAGACAAATCCGAAACTCAACAGCTTTGGGATGAAAGTTTAATTCCTCATTTATGAAATTTTTTCTCTCCTTTAAGTAAATACATAATTTTAAAAAGAGAAAAAATTCATACTCTGCATTACTTTCGTCCTCTGGTATACAATTTGTTCTGTATTTTCTAAATATTGCGTTACGAAACAGAAAACCTTCGCGTTAACTTGCGTCAAGGATTAAGCAGTTTTTTAATCTCCTTTTCCATTTATTATCTGATCTAATGACTCGTGTTGTCGAATGGATTTATCGCAGAATCGATCGCGGGCAAGACGCGTAATGGAGGTAATTTGCATTAAGTTATTCCACGTGAAAGCTCTTGCGATCATATTTGCAAGATCTCTTAACAGGTGCAGTGGGATGTCATTACGTATTTGAGGCAATAGCTTTGTAAAGATATAAATAGGATAATATCTAAATACCTTAACGTATTTCATTTGCAGAATTGCATCAGATAATCCTGGATTCTCAACAACCAATAATATCCCGTAATATTATTCTCCATTGTTGTTAGATTGATAAACGTAATGAAAATATCAGATACAACGTACAAATATGCATATTAGTTAAATTATATATTATATATGTATCATTGCTATGTGTTAGCAAAAATATGAGTCTAGAATTGCACTTGGAGAATTGGTTTATGCACTTACTGTGCAAAACTATGCACACGCTAAACTGTTCCCTGACTGTAAAACGTTCCCTGATGAATAAAATTAATTACGTATGCGGAACAACACAGTCATATCGATTAGAATTATGTATGAAACATGTGGATAATGACTGGGGTTCCGTTTGATTCATTTATTTCACACCAAAGCGACTGTGCACAATCGTTATTAACGCGGATATGATGGCATTAATCAACAAAGGAGGATGTACTTCGCATTCCAATTTTACTTTCCTCCAGCAGCAATGTCGTTAACACATTGTTTGCGCAGCAATTCTTGTATAATTGTATGCTGCGGTAAAATTTTCTTTATATTATACAACTACAAAATATCGGGTGATATAAAATAAGACTTTGTTCCCATAATATGAATTGTCCGCTTTTACTTTACGTTATCTGGCCATTTACTTGTATGTCGTTCAAAATGATTGTATTAATTAAATGGCATTAATTTTTCTACGAGCATTAAAAAAAGTTTTAATAGCACCGGTCAGCATTATAGTGACTATGGCGGTAAAAGTGTTAATTAATTTCTATCAGAAATGCTGCTTTAATCGTTGAAAATTATTGTTATATTTCAACAATTGTCAATTGATATTACATTTATAAATCTATAATTTATAAATTATACCAAAAATTAAGGAAAAATATATGAATTTATTATGGATTATAATATAATATAACAAAAATAATATAACAATAAAATTCATAAGGTTCTGACGTGAAATCACAATTCGAAGGAATAAAGGATATAAGAGCCAAGACAGGATGATAGTGTCGAATATTATTGTTCTTTAATTTTCTTATTTTTTTAGTAATTTTTTAAATTGCTGTGTGCGCATCCAATGTTTTAATACAATAAATAATGCAATTCTCAATTACGTATCTTACAATCGCAAAAGGTTCAAAACGATGAAAAATTCAAAGAATACAATAGTTCATCGTTTCATAACAAATAAATCACTCTGACGCAAAGGGTAAAAATGTCGAATGCATAAGACAAAGAGTGCTTTGTTTTTTAAATTGCTCGCGGGACAGCGTGGAGTAAAAGTGGAAAAATCTTATTATATGACATACTAGCATATGATGTAGCTATACTGAGTAAAACTCTTATTTTCAGTACACTAAAACGTAAATTGATGATCGCAAAAGTAGTTACAAATTTAAAAAAAAAGGTTTACGTCACTCCAGACGTGTCTTTGCATAATCGTTTCTCTGCAAATTTGTTTTATCTATCATATCGCACGAAAAACAATTATATATTGATGATTACTTGCCTAATTGTGGACATTACGATCCCGCGATAAATAATGCAACACGATCCTCTCGAAAGATATCGCGACAATTCAGATAAGACTGTCTTGCTGTCATTTTCAGGTCGCTATTGCGGACATATAAAATAAAAAAGTTTTCGCAGCTCTAAAAATATGACATGAAAAAATATGACCGAGATTCGATCAGATAAATATTTGATTAATATCTTAAATAGCGCCAACTTTGCGAACGTTATATCTCTCTGACTCACCTGGTCAATTACTTTATATTTCCCGACGTAAGCGGAAATAATGTTCCTCGGAATAAGGTATATACCCGAAACAGCGAGTGGAGCTGTATCTGCTGGCGGATTTCATAGATCGTATCTTTATTAAAGCGGGATTTACGGGCTCGCGTCATCAGAAGTGATTTAGCGTTCGCGCGTTGTACGAAAACGGCATTCGTTTTTCTTTATATTTGTGCAAATTTATATAATTCTACACAGCGGCAGATCTTAGGAATCAGAAGAGTAATAAGAGGACAATAATTCGATCACGTTAATCGTAATTATCCAAGCAGAACAAGAAGTCACGATGAAGTTGAAAACGACATCAAAATCACATCACGAGGACTATCAAAAGTCATATTTGGATCATGACAAAAAATCGATGAAATAATATGATTTTGAAATTTAAAGATGCTGGTTAACATGGTTTGCGAATAATTTTAGCTTGGATTATTTCTGATATTCATAATTGTATGTGAAGATTTAAATAACACTAAAAATAATACTATTATTAAAGGAACACGATTTGTATGATAAATGGCAATATCCAATGTCTTGCAAGATTTGTATAATATTTCCGAACTTTTGTGTATTGCGAATGAAAAATCGGAATATCGATGCTTCAAAAATCTAATATTTTCATGAATTCAGAAAATATAATAATATCTGCGAAATTTAAGCTATTTCGCACGGACGAGCGATTTGCGTTCTCCTGGCGAAAGTCATCGAAAAATTAAGATATAGTCATAAAAAATCAAACGCTTCATTAAAAGTGTTAAATGATATCTTTACTTTCTAGAAATGACTACTCTCTAAAAGTCAATCAGTGCATTATCACTGAAAACAGTTACAAGTATAACACTGAATTATTACTTAATGTAATGTATACTTGTAACTGTGAATCAGTGAATATTCACTGTTTTCAGTGATAATCCACAGATTGACTTTTAGAGAGTACTTTTTCATGACGGTAATTATTAAATAACAGTTTGTTCTGCTTGGGTATAATATTCTTCGCGTAGAACGTTTTAAAAGTAGACTTTCAAACAAAGTCTTCTCTTGAAGTATTGTAAAACAAATGGTTTCTTTTACGGGAAACGGTGTTATATCATCTTTGCGTTCTCAATTGTAATTTATGCAAACAGTTTTTTTGTACACTTGTAATGCATTATTATTACCACTTTGCACGTAATTTCTGTCGGGTAAACAAAATGTTGGCAATACACTAGCGGTTTGCCTGCCAACTCGAACAGAATCTGACAACAAATTGTCAGCAGAAATCGAGTAAAATTTGCTATTTCGTAATTTAAATGGTTACGAAACAACTGATTCTGATGGGTTTCCGCAGTCAATCTGTTATCACATTCTGTCATTACATTTTGTTACATTTCCGCTCACGTGATTCTGCGAATGGCAAAATTTGTGGCAGACGCTTTGCAAAATTTGTTTTCGACAAATTGGATTAGTTGGGTGATTACCGATTAGTAATAAGTAAATTTGACCGTTTTATATAAATACTGCAAACAATAACAACGCCTTGTGCGGGATCTTAGTGTTTAATAATATTTTTGCATGTGTATCTTTTTCAGCGCAATCGTCAATTAATCATTAATTAGTTCAATTAGAAAGTCGAATAATGCAATTCTCGTTCCCACCATACGCTTCCATATTAATCATTAATTAACTGCCAATTAATTTTTCTGAACACCTTTTCATGCATCATCTGCATTGTTTTATGTTAAACCCAGTGAGAACACTAATGTCGAAGCAACGTCGAATCGACGTCAATGGGGTCGAAATCGCGTCCCAACCGTCAGTTTTGGAAAATAATTAAAAACTTTGGAACTTTAATTTTATATTAAATTTTGTATTAAAAATAAGCTGACTTGGCAGTTCTCTCCAATAAGATGTTAAAAGTATTCGGAACGTTGAACGTAGTGTAATTTAATACGAACAATTAAGTTCCAAAACTTAATTATTATATTTTCTAAAACTGACGATTGGGCCGCAATTTCGATAAACCCATCGGCGTCGATTCGACGTTGATTCGACGTTAGTGTTCTCACTGGGAGACTTTTCTTAGCTGCACAGACTATGAACGGAATCGTAAAGACTTGACAAAAACGATTGTAACGATAAGGAGAAAGATTATTGCGACATCCCGTGCGCGACTGATTTGCAGCATCTTCGGCGCGTAGTGTTTTAAAACTACATTTCTAAGTGGGCATTTTGCGCGTTAGTCAGGATATTCGATCAATATCCAAAAATATCCACCGCTTGTCCACGTTATATGGGACGCGCGCGACGCTGGAAAAGAGAAGAGGCCAACGCCGGTGGTGTTCGTGGCATCAGCATCAGCAGCAGCAGCAGCAGCAGCGATGGACGAGGGCGATCGATGTGATCCGTGGCGCGTTCAATGCCACACTTGGAGAACATTGAATTGTGTTCAGTAACAGCCGCAGTAGCAGCAGAGAAAGAGAGAGAGAGAGGAGAGTGAGAAAGAGAGAGGGGATATACCCCACGGTCGATGCCTATATAGCCAGCTACGAACGCAACAGATCGTTTCAGTCGTTGTCTCTCGTCTCGGGATTTGTTAGCTTCCCCCTTTTTTTTTATTACACGTCCTCGGATCAGCCTCGATTCCTCCGAGGACTCGCGATACACTTTCACGATGTTATACGCCGTCGTGGTTTGATCGAACGACCGTCTAACGAGCCGATCAGCTTCGCCGGCTCGCGGTTATCGCGATCGAAGTGGTGCGCGAGGAGGTGGCGATAACGATTCGCGCGCGCGAGGATCAGGGATCACCGGCATGTTCTCCGGGACGTAAAGCGGAGTCTGCTCGCCGCGCGGAAGCTGGGGAGAAGTTTGGCGGTAAAAAAAAGAAAAGTGCCTCCGTTATCTCAAATAGGTATCTCGTTTCGCACCGCGCGGATACAGGCTGTTTTAATTGTGCGCGCGTGGCGCAGCATCCTGAAGGCTGGATCCGAAACGCGCCCGTAGCACGAAGAAACTGTTACCTCCCATCTTCTCCCGCGGTACTTCGGAGGTCTCGGTCGACAGTGACATGCCGCCGCAGGAGAAGTTTCCGGCGACCGCCGGGGTCTCTAGGGATCTGTCCCCGCAGGACGCGAGCCCCGACGGGGGCCTGTCGGCCTCTGCCTCGTCCGACGGGTTCCCGGCAGCCAAGGACCGCAAGAGCGGCGACGACCAGGACGACCAGGAGCAGCCCAAGGACCTGGACTTCGACGACCTGCTGCCGCACGTGGGCGAGTTCGGCACCTACCAGAGGATCCTGTTTGTGCTGATGATACCGTTCGCCTTCTTCGTCGCCTGGGTGTACTTCTCGCAGATATTCATCACCCTCGTGCCGGAGCAGCACTGGTGCCGCGTGCCGGAGCTGGAGAACCTCACGGCCGAGGAAAGGTAGGCTGGAAATTGAAATCGTCGTCGAGGCGAAAAGAGTGCGCTGATTATTTTAGGGAGAACAACGGAAAAATATCTAATAATGACAGCGTGTTAATTCCCTCGCTTCAATTTCAGAGACAATGACGTACAGATAAGAGTCGACTTCAAAGCAGATTTTATCGTTTAACGACTAGTACAACTTATTCGTTACACGACATTATCGCGTTGACGCGATTACGTGTTTCTTTTTTTATAAGAGAATATTATTACCTGAAACAGTACAATTTTTTGCGCGTGGACCATCTCGATATTTCAATTTGTTTTTCATTCCTTGGCACGTGATTAATTATTAAGATCCTGTTAATAAGTTACCGCGTATCTAACACTTAAAATTTACAGTCCTGCGCGAATATGGTTTGTAAATGAGCCGCGGAATATGGATATAGCACTTAGCAATATCAACGTGATCACCGAATGATAATTCGCAGTCTTATATTTCTGCTCTCTTATCACCACTCATTTGCTTAACATAAAGCATGAAATCATTAATATACGTCGTAATAATCGCCCACTTGCCGATTGGTAATTGTAGCTTAAAGCAACCGCGAGACACTTAAACGCGGACCACTTTGATACGTGCTCGAATACTTCTTTCACGCCCTACTCTTCGGCTCCTGACTACTTGTTATAAATTAGTCTTCCACGATATTTGCTTAAAATTCACAATTTCGCGCGAATATGATTTGCGTGTAAACTGTAGAAGGGATATAAGACTTAGCGGTATCAACCGAGTCATAATTCTATAGTTTCCCCTGTTATCGCTACTTATTTGCCTAACGCAAAACGTGAAATCCCGTACGCTGTGATAATCATCTACTCGTCGATTAATAATAGATCAGTGCGATTGTGAGATACTGAAACGGGTGACTCCGATAAGGTTTCTTGTCTTGCCAGAGGCGACAAAATTCTCGGATCAGAATGTAGGATAGACGGGGTTTTTTCCCCCCCTCCGACTGTGTGTGCACATTTTAACTTCGATAAAGAATAATAGAGCGTGTTGTAAATGCACAGCGATACAGATACAGAGTTCCCCTTCTAGTGACGCGCGTGCACGTTAGCTCAATAGGAAGGGAAACTTTTCATCAGAAGCGTGAGGAGCATTCGCGATAGCGGGGGTCTCAGAGTTTCAAACGCTACTTCGTCTCCTCGTTGCGTCTAGGCAACTGCATTATTTCCACAAACACTTTGTCTTCCTTCCACTTGCCGTTATTGTTCCTTTTGAGAACTCAAGGTCCGATCTGGTCGCAGCTTATCCTCGCGTTTTCGTCGGTTATACCTTTTAAACACCTTTTTCACGGTAATCCGAGCGAATTTTATTTACTCCGCTTACGATTACCGGTATCCCGATTATCAGCGCGGTTAATTGTTCGCGCGAACAAATATACCGTGAACATTCGAATTACCCGGAATACGTAGAACCGGTGATTCATGCCCTGCGATTTACTATATTTTTTCTACCGCGCGAGCCTGGTCAGCGCGTTTTATGAATTATCGCACACGATGCTGGATGTAAATTATTTGTTACATAATGGACTACGCGTTTGTTTCGCTGCGAAATGTTCTTCGGCCGTTTCCCAATAGTTTTGAATCGTTTTTTTTTCAACTATAAGAAGAGATACTTTTCTAAAACGCCGCGTAAAAAGTGTCCAATGATTCCGGGATAAACGGAAAAGCGCGGAAGGGACGCGGCAGTCTCACTTAAATTCACTTTAGACAGTCTGTAATTCCCATCGGATTTCGAGACGGCAGTCTATTTATAATTTGCCTGTATTATATTATATTTATATCGTATTTTTATATTGCTATACTATTTACATTACATTTAATGCCATGTTTATGTGTGCATTTTAATTTTCAAGTATTTAACGTGCCGATTGCGCGATAAAATTGTAAGTCAAGTTCCCGAAATTGTGCCACGAATTACAGATCGTCTGACAAAGCGGGGCCTATACGTGCACGTTTGCGTGGCTTGTTTAGCCGCCCAGAGCTATGCAAATCCGGCTGATAACGGCGCGAGACACGTTAATAACTCGTAAAAGCGCTCCTAACGATCCGTTATGTTGCACCTCAGAGTAAACACGCACACGCATCGTGGAGTTTGAAAATAAAAAGTGACAAAGGAGGAAATAAACGCGCAGCGCAACGCTATTCTCGGCTTATTGTCACCGATGTGTTTTTCACGTTCGCCGACAGCGAGCGATTTTTCATCTCCGGCGGTCGCGAAAGGACGGATGGAAACTGCACGCGGCGTGAAACGTATCGGCGTTCGGTAGATACGCGCCAAGCCAGGGAAAGTGTGGAAACGACGCGACGTCGAGACCTTCGCCGCCACAATTCGATTGCACGATTCGGCACGGCGGGGATCGCGCGATTAGTAATACCTGCGTGTTGGTTTAATAGCCTCCTTCTATCGCTCTGACGTCAGCCTAATGACGAGATAAACGACCGGTCGATGCCAGGTTTTTTTTTTTTTTTACGGAAATCCATAAAAAGTACACAGACATCGGGCGTGACCTGCGTAATATATTATTATTATTACAGCAGCACTCTCAACCGTTTCCAAATGGAGCAGCGAATATGCCAGTTTATCCACTGATCCGCATAATTAATAGACCGATTGTAATGCCAGAATGACGTTTGTATTAAATGGAGTGGAAAAAACATTTTTAACATGTCTGCGGAGCAGAGAAGATTAGCGAGGGAGATATAATTCGCGATTGCAAGCTATTATCTTTCTCCCACGCGAGTAAACCACAAGTCGCGGCTAACGGCTCTAACAAGAATGTATTTACTGCGAGTTGTACCGTCAAGTGCGTCAAAATGCACTCTTACCTTCCTTGGGGAAAATATACCTTATGTAGAACACCTTAAAATTTGACTCTAGACAAAATAAGAAATACGAAACGTAAATTTGGACACTTAAAATTTTTATTCAAGGTAAACGTGAAGCTTAGCTTTAAGAATTTAAAAGAAAACTTTCAAAATTGGTTTACTTCATATCTAAAAGTTACTTTAAGTGTCCAAAATTACACTAAAATTTCTTAAGTAAACTTTTAACTTCTTTAAGTAAACTCTTAGATTTGAAAGATTGCTTTTAAAAACTTTAATTTTATTTAAAATAAATTTTTCCAAGGGCTACACTGAGAAAAATATCCGATTAAATATAATCGGATAATCCAATTACATAATAACAATCGGATGCATCTGATTAAATTGTATATTCGATGAAAAATATATGGTCGGTTTTTCGATCAAATTTCATTGGTACACGGAGAAAAATTTCCATCGGATAAACCAATTAAATAGTGTGTCCGATGGTTAATTTTTTCGATTACGTTTTCCGATTAAATGATGAATACATCCGATGAAATTTATCCGATAAAATGCAGTTACCGATGAAATTGGATAGAACAACCGATCGCATTTTTTATCGGATATACAATTTAATCGGATATATCCGTTTGTTATTATGTAATTGGATTATCCGATTATATTTAATTGGACATTTTTCTCAGCGTAACCGCATTTCATCGGATAAATGCCATCGGATATATAGATAATTTAATCGGAAAAGTTAATCGGGAAAATTGACCATCAGACACACTATTTAAGTGGTTTGTCCAATGGAAATTTTTCTCATTGTCAGTGTACGCTCGAAATTTTCGCCTCGTTATCATACGTATGTACAGTTATCATACATTCTGTACAATGATGTACAGAATGGTCGCGACACTGGTTTTTTAAGTGAGTTTACACGGAGAAAAATGTCCGATTAAATATAATCGGATAATCCAATTACATGATAACAAACGGATATATCCGATTAAATTGTATATCCGATGAAAAATTTGATCGGTTTTTCAATGAAATTTCATCGGTAATTGCATTTCATCGGATAAATTTCATCGGATATATCCATAATTTAATCGGAAAACGTAATCGGAAAAATTAACCATCGGACATACTATTTAATTGGTTTATCCGATGAAAATTTTTCTCAGTGTAGGAACGTGCATTTAGATTCGGGATTACGTCCCAAAATCTTTTTCCCCGAGGAATATTTTACTCGATAGCCATTTCGAGCGTTTCCGATCTATTTCTCGAGTAAAATTTTCCTCGGAAAAATGTTTTAAAACGTAAATCTGAATCTAAATGTGCGTTCCTAAACTCTTTTTATAAAAAAAAAACAGTGTCGCAACCATACTGTCCATCACTGTACCTATGGTGATCGTCGGCAAAGTACACTGAGAATTTCGTTGGTGCTTGTGCTGGTAATTGTTAACACTCGTGCTCGTTTTTGCAATTGTTAGCGCCAATTGGAAAATCAATAAGGCAAATGTGTATTTGCACAACGCCCCCGACTGGCCGGAGGCCGGCACGAGTATTCGTGGATAATGAATGATTAATTTGCACGAAACCTTCGTATAAGCAATGAGAGCGTGAACGTGAAAAATACCCGTGTAAGCCTTTCGACATAACGTCGTGCTGATTGCACGTAAGCGGCCAGAAAGACGGTCTCCAGAGAATCCAGCACAGAGAATCCAGAGGGAATTCACGAAGAATTCCCAGATTATGAAATAAATTCTCCTTCCATCCCACTTCTATTCTAAAAAAAAAATATTAAAAATTCGCTTTACGTCATCGATTTCGAGCTCTTTTTCGGATACAACAGAATGTTTTTTATACTCCATGCGAATTCGCACCGGAATGGAATTCTTTCAGAGTTTATTTTGAAGAGATTATACTAATTTATAAAGAATTCAAAAAGTAAATTCTTTTTATTTCTAAGTTCATAACAGGAATCCTTTTCCAATTCCCGAATTGAATATGAAATAATCTCTTTTCCCACCTCATTGTTATTTTAGAAGCATTAAGAATTCGCTTTTACGTCACCAATTTCGATCTCTTTTACAAAATAATTCTTTTTGAGAATTTGCATCGGTAAAGAATTCTTTTTCAAGAGATTATGACTATCTTTTTTAAAGCGAATCCTTTTTAAGTTCCTGACGATTACTTGTGTTGTTTGAGTCCTTAAACCGGACGTCTCGGCGAAGCATATATTTCGATCTATATTATTTAATAATTAATGAAAAGAAATAGTCACGCTCGTTTTTTAAATAATATAACAAATATTCAATATCACGGCCAATGTATTAGACGCAAAAAGGATGTACAGATTATTATAAAATTAACAATTTTATGTTACATAGTGTTATCGATCTTGACTAATTACAAAAAAATTCGCGTTTCGACACTATATACGGTGTATCCTTCAGCATGTTAATAACTTAGTAAAAGAAGATAGAATTCAAGTCGCATGACAAAATGTTGTGTCAAATGCATCATAAGAAAATAAAAAATTCGTTTTCAGATATTCCTCGAACTCATGAATGAAACGCGGATCTCTCTGGATCTTAATGATATCGGGCTCTGAGCCATTGAACTTTATTGAAAACTCACTTAATTTTATTATCTACTCCCGAAGCTTGATTCAGGGAAAAGCGATGTGTTTTCAGTTTAAAACTGAAAAATGGTTAACATTTCGACAATTTATTTTACGATACTTTCCTAAAGGAATAACAAATAAACTCTGAACGGCACAAAAATAAATATTTGTCATCGACAACCTGCACAGAAGCTCTTGTGAGAAAATTTATTTTACGACATTTTTTATCATTACCGTAAAATTAAAAAACTATTATAGGTACTTTCATATAGAACTCGTTGAAACGCGACGACTTCAACTATGTAATCTTTTTCCTCGAAGATACATGCCTCTTTACGCGTGTATTTACAGATTTACGATCCAATGTCGTAACTTTAATATTTTTGCGCGGCCAGTTACCAACTCGTGCAGAATGCTAGAAGAGACGCTCGCGCGAGCGTGTCTATCAAGGATGAAAAATGTACGTGCATTGCAATCGATGTCGAATGCCTCTATTCGTTCGTGCAACTCTCGCACAAAGGTCAGATTGCACGCGTTATTAGCCGGAGGTGTGCACGCACTCGATAATTGGAGACCTTTATACGCATGATCTTAATTACCGGCTTATAATTGTTTTCGATTTCCCGTCAGGGTAGTCCCTCCTGCGCCTGGCATTTTATTGGGTCAATGCTTGACATTTACTGCAACTTCTTATTATATATCAGTCGTCTTGCCAGATCTAACAATAAGCGTTAATTCCTGCCCCCGATACGGATAATGTACTTTTATTACGGTTTTTATCTTAAGATAAACATTGATACTGATTTTCACATGATTACAACCGCACTCTTCGTTGGACATCTTAAACTAAATAATAGACTAACATATTATATTTGACTGTAATCAAACGTGGAATAATGAATTTATACATTTTTATAACGTTGACTTGTTACACCGAGAGAATGTTCTCTTAGAATTTACTCTGAAAATTTTACAATAACATTGTGGAACAACATGGCATTTCGAAAAAGTGTATGAGAGTGCTAAAATTGTTTCGTACATTTTATTAAAATACATAGTAAAATTTATAAAAATATATAGTAAAATTAAAAGAACTCTCATAAAATTCTTCATTTCACTATACATTTTAGTAAAATGTGTAGTAAAATTGAAAAAAACTTTCATAAAAGTGTTTCGAAATGCCATGTTGTTTTACGATTGTCATAATTTTCAGGGTACATTCTGAGAAAAAACTCCTCTCCGCGTATATTTGTAGATTTTTAACTTTAATTTCATGCCCGATCGTTTACAGCTGTTTCTTCGAATGACTATATTGATGTGAATTCCAGTTGTTATCTGCGATAATTGATTAAGAATTTTTCTTTTCGTTTCTTTTAACTGTGTGTTGGTGAAGATGACCAAGGTAGATCAAAACGCGCAAGTTTTGATGACTAAACGATATGAAAGGAAACAAGACCGATGGCTTATCTAATTAATTGGTTGGTATTAATGAATAAACTTGAAAATTTAGGAACCTCAATAGTAATATCTTATAACTTGTTCTTTTATTCATATAGCTTTTGCCTAATTATAACAAGCGCTTTCTTCTCATAATTTATATTTTTATCTTGTCGTCGGATTTTACAGGATCGCCTTGGCGATACCGGCCGCCGAGGATGGCTATTCCAAGTGCACCATGTACGATGTGAACTATACGGAGATCCTGTTGGAAGGGATCAGAGAGGCGGATCCAAACTGGCCGACGAGGGGTTGCTCGCACGGCTGGGAGTTCAATTTTACCGACATCCCCTACGAAACCGTGGCGACCGAGGTAAGACGGCAAAGAGAAAGCAGAGGAGGATGAGGATTGATAAGAATCACCGGAGGAGAACGATGTTCTCGGTGAGCGACGGTCCTTTCGCTCGTTAAAGAGCGCGTTTAGCTACTGTGTGAATTAGATGTTCAAATGGAACATCTAATTGCACGGCACATGGGTAGCGAGTGGTAAGATACACTGGCAAAAAATCGGATATTTTTCTCAGTGTGCAAATCATCTCAGTTGAATGCAACAAGGACCAATTAACAATTTGTCCTAAAAAATTGGTTATATGAGCAATGTTTCACCTTGTATTTTTACATCATGGTGGGGGAGCACCATGTACGCGAAGAGCGATACAACTTGTAGGCGCGATTGCGCCACGGAATTAAGCAATTGCTCGCGTTCGTGTTTTTGCACAATTGCCTAGAAATGCGATTGCACTACCGACCAGGTTTGGAAAACCTGAATCGGTTGCCTTTGTCTATCGGAGAACGTCCGGTACCTTTTGCACCGACTTTCGTACGCGGCCGTCTTCCGAGCACGGAGACAAACTGTAGCGAGAGTGCAAATGTCGACCATTTTATTCTTTAAAGATTAGATGGTAGAAATTAGTCTTTGCCGGACAAGAGGCAAAATGGAGGATATTATTATAATAAGAGTACTTTTACGTAACAAAAGATCCAAGTAGAACAAAAAGTTATTTAAAATTCAAGGTAATATCGTTTAATACTTTTAATGAACATAATTTGAATTTTTTACGGCTGTATTTTAATTTTTTAATAACTTACGCCGAGAGAACGTAAATTGCTCGTGCAAAATAATTAAAATCTCGCAAATTTTATTGTATTTTACGAATTTATGAAAATAGTTGACTTTTGAAGCATTGGTATTTTCGGATTTTCTATTCGTAAGATACAATACAAATAATAAAAGTCAAAGAATACAAATCTTGTAAATTAAATATCGCATTTTATCAAATAATTTTCAAATTATATGCTTATCATAGTATCATTTTTGTTGAAAACAATAATTTGGATCCATTACCAGGATAAGTTGCGGACCGCATAGCAGAATATTGTCATACATAAAAAACTCAGAAGTCTAATAAAAAGAAATTGGTATTTGAAATTTTCAATTCGTACAGTTCGTGCTAAATTTGAAATTGGCTTTATAAAATTACAAAATTCTTCCACACGGTTAAAGTTCGCATAAAGACAAAATTATAGGGACAGTCGACTTCAAATAAAAAAACGAAGAGCAATTAACAATATCACTTTATAAATGATTGAGATTAGCTAACTTCGAAATGAAAATTTCAAATACCAAATTTTTCATCAGACTTCTGAACTGAGGGTTTTAAGTATGAAAGTACTCTGCTCTGCTGTGCGCAATTTATCCTGATATTATTTTGTGCGTAAAAGCCAATGAGAAGAATTACGCAAAAGCGCAAAAACTATATTTGATTCCCTTACAGAAAAAACACTCAAGTTTTAAGCGTTGACACTCGATTGTCCGAATTTACTTGGGTGTAAATATTTAAATCCCAAATTTGAGAGTAAATTCGGACAATCGAAACGTTCAAAACTTGAGTGTTTTTTTCCGTAAGGGCTGTGTCGGTAAAAAAGATGGCTGAGGGATCTTCTTAAGGCAGCGCTCAGAAACATGACCCGAATGCCCCAGCGTATATCATTTTATCCTTGTTTAACATACGGTGAGCAACATCGCAGCCCATAAAAGTGAATTCTTCTTGAGTTCGTAATGACCCGTTTGGATTTTCGTTGCAGTTGGGATGGGTGTGCGAGCACAGCGCGCTGCCGACGACCGCCCAGAGCGTCTTCTTCATCGGCGCGATCTTCGGCGGCCTGATCTTCGGGTGGATCGCCGACAGATACGGCAGAATACCGGCGCTAGTCGGCGCCAATGTCACCGGCTTCCTGGCGGGCGTCGCGACCGTCCTGGCCGGAAGCTTCTGGGAGTTTGCGCTATGCCGCTTCTTCGTCGGCTTTGCCTTCGACAACTGTTTCACCATGATGTATATATTGGGTATGTATGCGTCGCGGAACCGTCGTGAAGGAAGGAAACCACGGGAGGTTTTCGTCTCCTTCCGACGCGATAATTGCTCATTAACGACAAGCGATATCTTCCGCGCGACTTGCGACCTCGGAAGCGATCGAAGAAATCGTGGAAACCGCGCTCGTCGCGATTAAAGGCTGACGACGAAGAGAACGAAAGTCACGATTCTCCGTCAATCATCAGGACGGTGAATTATATTTACGAATTATGAAAGTAACAGTGACCCTACCGAAGAAATGACCGGCTAATTAATAGAGTGAAGTTTCCTATGATTAGATAGGCTTCCAACGTGAGATAGCAGCTTTTCAACGTCCAAATTCGATCACAATCTTTTTTCGCGACGATTACACGATCTAACAATAAAATTTTCACTAAACAGATTTCACGTCAACAGCAATAAATTCATGATGGAACCAATAGATGATGCTTGTTGATTTAACGGAAACCCCGCTATCTCATGTCAGGAACTTGTCTCAGTAGGGGACTTTCCTCTATATCTCCGAGCCGACGTATGAAGACCCGATTTGCTAGATTCCGCGATTAATTTTTGCAGCTGCATTCCACTTCATTGCTTATGCATACTAATTAAGAATCAATAAATCAGCTCTTATAATATTTCATTCATTCTCGCGTAACGAGACAGATTCGTTGTTTCAATGGCAGTTGCTTCGACCCTCTGACTCTTGGCCGCCCAAGTCCCCGCTGAAATTCACAATTAGACTTTTCGCGACGCACCGGCGCGCCGTTGTCAAGCAAGATCGATTCCAAACCGGAATCGATCGTGATCGGTCTCAAAATCAACTTTCCTTTTCGCCGCGCTTATTATTAATTCGCGAGCGACAAGAAATTCCGCGCGCGAGGGCGTTCCTTCCCACGCGCGTGGCTATCCCGATTTTCAAACGTGAAACAATGCCGCGCGCTAGAAACGCATCTCCTTGTATTCACTAAACCGTTACGTCAGCCTTAACCCCGTCAGCTATCGCGCTACAATCGTCGTTGTTTCACATCGCAATTGTAATTGAGCTGATCGAGCCGCGATTAAATGCTCTTCCAGGGGGTTTTTCCACGGATACTCCGACGGAGATCCGCGAACAATTACATATCGCGTCCGAAAGCGGGATCGCGCCGTAAAAAGCGGGAGATACCAACCTTGCCTTTCTTGTCCCCACTTGTGCAATTATCTATCGTGCCCGATTATCGCCGCCTGGCCTTGGCGATAGACCGGCAATCCGGCCCACCGAGTGATTGTCGGTCTGCCCGAGTCGATCTTCGAGTCACGGCCGATCACGATCGCCGGATTCAGGTACCAGGTCAAGCTCGCCCGGTTTGACTCACGAAGTCACGGTTATTGCACTCGCGCACGTTTTGCCGGTTCCGTTTCGCCGATCGCGCCGGTGGGAGCGTGGCCAATGTCAGAGGCACGTGCCGTTGTCCGCTTGGCAAGGCGGTATTAGCTGACAAGTCGATCGCGTCCTATTGTCTCTCGAGAAATTTATCCGTTACGGGGAGTTTGGTATCAATTTGCCTCATTGAAGGACGAAGGAAATTGCACGATCGCTCGAGTCGCCGGATTCGTTGCGCGTTTTGCACCGCGAGCTGTCCTCGCGAAGATCGCGAATTCGACGCGGATCTCGACGATAGTCACGGAGCAATTTTGCTTGTGGGATGATTAAACTCGATGTTGATTAATTCGAGCGCTTTCGGCTTGCTCGTACCAAGGGAGGAGAGCTGTCGGAAATCTCGAATGCCAATCCTGGTGGAAGTGTTTTGCTGAAGATACAGTAAAATTTTGCTGAAATGTACTCTCTGAATTAACCCCGTTGCATTATGACTTCATCGTTTCAGCAATTTTCCATTAAAAAGTAACACAGTTTCTAGTTGAATCCAGTAAATTTCATATCTCAAATATTTCACAAGTTTTTTTTATTACTTTTCCACAGTATCTTCAACTACATTACGGTATTACGTTGAACTTCACGAGGAAAATTGTGATTTATTTCGAGGGATACACTCATCAGTAAAGTTTGAAAAACTTTTATTTCACCTTTCATCGATCTCATAATACTTTGAGCAATTCTTTTCAGCGGGTAATATACGTCTTTTGAAATTGTCCGCGGAATGCGCAATCGACGCATTTTAAAGTCTGTAAATCTATACTGAATCTCTTTTAGCCTTGCGGCCGTCGCTAAACTAAGCTCTAAACACACATAGATCGGCTAGCCGATAATTTTACGCTTCACAGATGGATGATAGCGTGAAGGTAGCGCATTAGAAAAAACGACCGCTCGTCGATCTAATTAGAATAATGTAAGTTAGCAGTCATGCGGTATCCTCTTGGTAAACAGGAAACATTTCGTGGTTTAATGCCCAGGCGTTTGCTGTTACACGATAGGGGGACGATAGGAGGCTACGTTCGGTTGCGAGAATAACGAGAAGTTAACTATTAGGCTTCCTCGCACTAACAACCAAGTATTATCTAAATTGCAAGAGATAGAGAGAGGTTACTCGATGCATTCTCCGGTTTTCGTCCCGGGCGGCCGTCGTGCAAGGTCAGAGCGAGGGATGCTATTTGTACACTGTAAAAAAATTACATGTAAAATTACAATTATTATAGTGGGACCATCTATTAAAGGTGTACATTTACATACGTCAGTAAATTTACGCCTTTTAGGTAAAATCATTACCTGATATAATAAGTAAACTGCTTGCTTTAAATTGTGTAAATTTTACAATTTTTTGTAATTTTTTATCATGCATAAACAAGTATTTACACAAGAAAGAGTACAAAAGTTTCTTGTAAAGGTACATAAATTTATATATACATATATATCCGTTATTAATAGTGTAATCGCTACACTTATTATGTAATTTTACATACTTTTTTCACGGTGTAGAGCATAAGAATAATTTAATCATAGATCTATCTCGAGATTTTTAAGTGATTAACTGTCCGCGAGAAGGTGTTCAAGATGACTTTCGTTTAGAAAGTAAATTGTTACGTAAGGAGACATCGGTATACAGTGATTAAATGCAGATTTTACTGGCGTGATGCGCGCCACATTCTTTTTATATAATTTGTGCGGCACGCCGTCTCAGGAAAGATTTCTGATAACAAGACAGAAAAGGAGGGATGCTGAAGTGGTTCTGCACCTTTTGCACTTTTTGCATTTAGCACTCATGAAAACATTTGTGTAATATACAAATGATAAAAGCCACATAATTTGTATGTTACACAAATGTTTTCACGAATCGACAGTTCGAGGAGCAAAGAGTGCAGAAAGTGCAGAATCACCCCAGTATCGCCCTTAAGATTAAATCAATAATCCCTGTTCTCCTTTCTCGAATAAAATAAGATTGAAATTAGAGTAACATATATAAATTTAAGATTATATATTTTTGCGTTTAGAATAAATCTTCCCTCGATGTATTGTAACGTACGCGCCAACAGTATTTTATTCTACAAATAGATTTAAATACGATTGTCGCTGTCTCGATTTCATTTTATGATAGATTGAAAAGTATATAGCATTGGGTCCGGAAATTTTTTTTCTGCGAGCGCGTTTTCGATTTTGAGATCAGCGTTAGCGCTTAATCGCAGATCGAACGCGGTATTTCTCTGAATATCTCATCTCTTTTTCAGTACTGGAATACGTGGGACCGAAATGGCGCACTTTTGTGGCGAACATGTCGATAGCGCTCTTCTTCACGTTCGCCGCCTGCATCTTACCCTGGATCGCGTATTACCTAGCCAACTGGAGGATGACCTGCATCGCAATATCCGTTCCTCTGGCCCTGGCGGTGGCGGCACCCTGGCTGGTACCGGAAAGCGCGAGGTGGCTTGTCAGTCAAGGCCAAGTGGAGAAAGCCATTAGGATCCTGGGTAAATTCGAACGCATGAACGGCACGAAAGTACCCGAGAACGTCTATCAACAGTTCCGCGTAAGAATCGCGCCTCTCGTTGCCTCTTTTTTACGGAGGAGAAAAAAAGTTGTATGCAACTCATCGAGAAAAATTCGCGTTGTAAGTGGCTGCTTGTCGATGTAACAGGAAACCTGCGCCAGAGTATGCAAGGAGCAAGAGGCGGACAAGACTTACTCCGTGGTGGATCTATTTAGGAGTCCGCGTTTGCGAAATGTTACAATGCTCCTGATTATTATCTGGTGAGTTGTCCATGATAAAAATGCTCTTTTCGAATTTTAATGCATTTCTAAGGCTGCCAAGTTGGAGGCGTTTTAATAAATGGCGTTTAAGAGGATCCCTCAGTCATCTTTTTTTTACCGACACAGTCAAATGTAGTTTTTGCGCTTGTAATTCTTCTTACTGGCTTTTAGGCACAAAATAATATCAGGATAAGTTGCGGATCGTATAGCAGAACATTTTCATACTTAAGACACTCAGTTTAGAAGTTTAATAAAAAAGAAATTGGTATTTGAAATTTTCAATTTTGTATTCGTGATCAATTTGAAATTGGCTTTATAAAATTGTAAAATTCTTCCACGCGATTAAAGTACTCCATAAGGGTCTCTATTTCTGCATATGTTGTTCGAAATATGTATGCATAATTCCAGCATTCTAAGTTTCATCTAGATTTCGTCACATAATTTGCCAAATATTTTCCTATCGGGGTTTTTGCATAAAAGCCAATAAAAAGATTTACGAGCGTAAAAACTATTATCGAATGTGTCAGTAAAAAACGATGACTTTAGGATTCTCTTAACGGGCATTTATAGTATTACAGCTTCTAGGAGAAAATATATGTAACTTTGAATAAAGAATAGTCGTTATTCGATGGCTGTAAAGAACGTGGTAAGGTTCCCCTTATCTACATATATCGATTATGTTCTGCAATGTAGGATGGCGATATCGCTGGTATTTGATGGTCACGTAAGAAACGTGAATAATCTCGGGCTCGACGTCTTTGTAACATTTACCATCGCGGCGTTTACCGAGCTACCCGCCGACACGTTCCTCACCCTCGTTCTCGATCGATGGGGCAGACGATGGTTGGCCTGCGGTACCATGGTAATTTCCGGAATTTTCAGCATTTGGGCGAGCGCGGTTTCGAACAGTGAGTGCTGCTAAACTACCTCTTTTCACCTAATACGCCCGGAGCGATAGCGTTTCAGAAAATTAGCAAAGTAGAAGAGAATCCTGTAAATGTTTGGAAATTTCGGAAGATTGAAGTTTCACAGAGTGCGAAGAATAACAACTGAATCGTATGTTATTCAGGAATGCTGTGACAGTGTGTATGCGGCTCTCCTTCTGACTTTCATTTCAGACATTTATTCGGCCACCCTGGCGATCGTCGGTAGATTCTGGGTCAACATCTCGTATAATATCGGTCTTCAGTATGCGGCCGAAGTGTTGCCGACGGTTGTAAGGGCTCAAGGGGTTGCCTTGATCCATATAATGGGATACGTCGCCAGCATCCTCGCGCCCTTTGTCGTTTACCTGGACATTGTCTCGCCCATTCTGCCACTGCTGGTCCTCGGCGTCATAGGCATTCTGGGCGGTCTCTTGACGCTCCTTTTGCCGGAGACACTCGACAAGGATCTGCCACAGACCCTCCAGGATGGCGAAGATTTCGGAAAGGATCAGAAGCTATGGGACATGCCATGTCTTTCAAAGTAGGTGTCGAAGATGTGATTCTTTTCCATTATCCTTTCTTCAAACACTCAATACCCGGCACTTTTTCCTTTTGACAATTAAGGTAATCACGTCGAAGAAAAATCATCTTAATTATATGCAATCATAATACATGTTAATCACGTTACTTGTAAAAAAATCTCTTCTACAATTCTTTTCAAATAATGTCGATTTTAAATTGAATAGCCCTTGGGAAAATACCTTAGAAAACCTTAAAATTTTCTTTTAGAAAAATAAGAAATATAAAAAGTAAATTTGGACACCTTAAACTTTTATTTAAGGTAAACTTAAAACTTACTTGAAGAATTTGAAAGAAAACTTTAAGAATTGTGTGTGTTAAAAGTATGTGATATAATTTACAACACTGCGTGCGGTTTTCTTCTTACGAGAAAGTGCTGTGCCGTGCGGCCCTCCGGCGGGAACTGCAACAGGCTCGGCTATTTAAAATTACTTTAAGTGTCCAAAATTACCCAAAAATTTCCTAAGTAAATTTTCAACTTCTTTAAGCAAACTTTTAGATTTGAAAGATTACTTAAAAAGAAATTTATTTAAAATAAATTTTCCCAAGGAACACTTTCTTCGTAATTTTTTCCCTCTTACCGTGTAGAATTCTTTGAGCAAAGAATTGTTTCCTGAGAGATTGCACGCATATATTTTTGCGTTTAGGAAAAAGCCCGCGGATGTGGAGGCACCGCCAGTGGTGGCAGTCTTCCGGCCGTTCGAACGCTGCAGCCTACGAAGTTCAATGAGAGCTTCTATTCGCGGCGAGACCCTGAGGAGCAGCATGATACAAAGATCGAGCATAAGATCGCGGAAAAGTGTAAACGCAGCCACGGAAGCGGAGAGCAAGTGAATACTTCCAGACACGCGGCCCTGATTTTCTATATACTGGCGCATTCTCTCCCTCTCTCTCTCTCTCTCTCTCTCTCTCTCTCTCTCTCTCTCTCTCTCTTTTTCTGCTGTTGTTCTTTCCCTTGTTGTGTGATATTCAGAGCTACCAAAATCAAATTTTGCATATGCCCGTATCCTGTAAACCGTCAATGACAATTTTAAGCCTAATCTACAACGTGCTTCTTGCAATTAGAAACATTCTATTTTGTATAAGGGAACCAATACGCTTAAAACAAATTTAGTGATTATGTACGATTGTACAATGTATAATTTATTAACTTGCACAAAACATATTTTTAAACATATTTCTTGACTACGAAATAGGATGTTCCTAGAGCACATTGTAGATTAGGCTTTAGAACGTTGAAAGGACAAAGTGCAATGTTGCTTCGGCCCGTTACTCTATTAAGTTTATTTAATTAGAACAAGGGAGGATTGATGCAATTAATTTTAAGTATTGGCAGTAGAGAAGTAGAAACGTCAGTTAGAACTTAATCAGAATTCAACTAAAAAATTGGCCGTTCTGTTCGTACTCTGCAAAATGCAGAGAAATCTTACGATTTTCTTTATTATATTTTAAATCCTATATGTGTGACGCCCTTGAAATCTAATTTGGATTTCGAGTAAATAGATAGGGACTTTTACTCGCAGTCATGTAGTGCGAACGCGAAGCTGCGGAGTTTTTTTTATTGCAATTCATAATTATATATATATTTTTATCATATTTGTATTTAATAACAGGAAGAAAACACCTAACCGGTGTCGTGAGTTTAGAAACGCGTGACGTTTCGAAACTCTTGTCTGTTCCTTGCGAAATGCGCGTCCTTCGAGGAAAAAAAGAAGAAGAGAAACTAATATTTTCAGATGCAACGTTCCGATTCCGCGGTGGGAACTGGGAACCACATTGAGAAATAGATGAGAAATAGATAAAAGGCAAATATGTACCCAAGACAATGCGAGAACGGCTCGTATTGCATTTTGCATAAATTGATCGCGTCGCTGTGGCTGCGACTCGTCACTGTTGCTCACGTATGTACGCGTGTAGTATGTAATACAATGTACATAGCGGATGTGAATCAAATTTTTGAGTTATATATCAAATGACGCGACGGACTGCGCATTGAATGCGAATGAAGATCGCGCGTCCTGAATGGGAAATTTTAGAGTAGCGGTTTTATTGTGATAAAAATTGCATATCGGCAATGTCTTCTCGTTGTTCAGGAACGTCCACCTAGAAGTATTCTCCGCTGAAATTCAGATCTCGAGATTTGTGTACATATGCAGTATTTTATAATGTAAATAAGGATATTAAATTAATTTGTATCTCCTTAATTGATCTGTGTTAATAAACGTGAACTGATATTCAGTCGGATGGATAATTACCGGTTGCCTTTAATTAAAAGCAGGGTTGTGCGGCAAATTTCAAAAGTACATCTACATGGGTCGCACTGTTTATATTGTGTTTACACAACCTTTTTTATGTAGGCAGCATACACAGCTAATGTAAATTATTATAAGTTGAACAATTGATTAATTAATTTCTTGTTAAACTGTACTTTTACACACAGCCCTTTAAAAGTAAAAAGAAGTTTTAGACTAACAATAAATTAGATCGGGTGATGCATTTCAATTATAATTTATCTATTAACTATACAGTAACATAAAAGGTATATAATATTAATGCAGAAACGTTGTTTCCTATGCTAACCCTTAATCGTGAGCTTTCAAACGACAAAAGCAATATTACTTGCTAATTCGTTTGCAATATGCAGACACAAATCAGGATCTTCAAAACCAATGTTAATGTTTTGTAAAAAATTGTGCCCAAATTATAAATAGCAATTGAAAAAAATGCAAACAAAAACATAAATTTTCAATCTTTCTGACAAACTGTGAATGTTCGATAATTCATAGATTACGCCATAGATTGTTTACACGATTGTTAAACATTACTTTATATTGTATACATGTAGATGTAAATTATTATATTTCACGTGCATAAACGCGCAACTCTGATTAAAAGGCACTGGTATTGTTGTGATAAAAAGGTGCGATCGTGCAATTAAGTGAACAATAATAACTATCGACAGCTTCTCGCAAATGAGAAAATTGTACGTTAGTTTAATTGTCTCGTACTACTGCATTAACGATTATCGACGTGTCGACAAATCTGTTAGGATGGAGCTAATATCGAGCAATGGCCGCGAATGACGTAATGTTTAAGACAGCCATTAGGGTCATCACTACCAAGTAGAACAAAAAGTCACTCAAAAGTCAAGATGACGTCGAAAAGTAATCATTTATAATTTATAGAAAATCAAAATGATATCCTATAACACTTTTAATGAAACGTACAGGGTGTCCCGTGACTCAAGGTCTACATTAAGGGCGTGTTATTGAAGTTATTGAGAACCAATTTCACAAACGTTAGTTAACTGTTAACCAGAATTCAGTCAACTCCCTATCTTTTTCTATCTTGGTCTCTAAGAAGAGACAGAGGATCAATTAACCTACGGTTAGTGTTAATCGACGTTTGTGAAACTGGCCCTTAGAGTTGAAATTGTTTAATAAACATATGTCCGTAAATATCTAACAGAACTACAATCATGAAAAGTTGATGTAAATATTTAAGAATGGAAAGAAAAAAAGACATTTAATTTAACTTGTTTATTTACAAATGTATTACAAATTGTGTTCAAAATAATACATACGAGTATTCCGTGAGTATAGGCTGTTTCGAAACTTATCCTAAAAAGTCGGACAACCTTTCTAACTACGATAAGATTTACGAACACACATTATTTTTAGCCTAGTTGATAAAATTTTATTGATTCCGCACAAGAAAATTTACATTGATTATTCAGGTATTGTTAAATAGCTGTTATCCTCTGTCTTTTATATTTTCCACTATCAGACTCAAACAACTCTGTTTAAAGAAAAAGAACGACGCTACTGAGACTGACGATTTCCCACAAAATATTGAATCGAGTGCAATTTTTTTACAGAGACGAGAAGGCACCCACCCTACTTCTTGCGTCACCATTACTGGTTTTACATTATTTTGAGTATTGGTAAGCTTTCAAGACTCCTGTTGGTTATACGGCACCCTCCGATCTGAGTCTGTTCTTATCCTTGAAGGCTCTGGTCTGTATTTTAGCCGAAAGGATAGATCGGGCGGGAATATCAGAAGTCTTTCTGATTTCGTTTCTTTTCAGTTGAGATCGTCGATATATTCGGGACACGTAAGAATCTTCGTGTATATTTTGACTTATGCATCAACCCAATACATAATTTCAGCCACCTTATCGCCGCATTGCGGTCGTCCGACAATTCATCAGTTCGCGTGGAATTTCAGAATCTGTTCGACGATTCATCACATTCTAATGCAAACGCTTCGAACTGAGGAGCGCGCGACCTTCCGTGCTATCTCGATTTCGCGCCAAGATTGATAACGAACAACAATCAATATGAGGCGCGCAGTCATTAGCGTTAAGTATTCGCGACAATGCTAATGCCCGTCATTACTGGCATCGTTCAAGAGACACAGTTGTGGCACGTGCAAACACGTTGAACCGTAAGGAAAGCGAAAGCAATTATTCGAGGAAACCGAATATATTCAGGTCGCCTTTTCTCTCGCCAAGATTTTTGAAAATCAAAATTAAATAAAATTTTCAATTACGAAAACTTTTCCATTTAAAAGCAAATTAAGTTTTCTTTTTCTAATTTTTTTTTCACACATAATATTATACAATAATATAGTGATCTACCGCGTATAATCGCTCCTCGCAATTTATTACATATATTTTAATTAATAAGTAAATTAATTTATTATAATTAACTTGTATTGATTTATTACTTTATTAAGTTAATTTATTAAGTTAACTTAATTAATATTAATTTAAGATTCTCTTGTGTCATTGAGCGACGAAAATGCGAATGGTCAAAGTTAGATGAAACACCCGGTACTTTTTGCGTTTCCCTTGGAAAAGGAATTTCCACCCTCGCCATCACTCTTTGTCGCGGCATTATTGCGACCGCGGTATAGCTGACAATTGTTGGTCAAGGTTTTATGCTTAAATAGCAGGACGCTTATCGACCTCCGCGTAGTTTATTTCTGGCTTGCGAGTTTGGCTCGTTCGAAACGTGAGTTTCGCGCTACGCCAGATATTGTTGCGAATTCGTAGGTAGCGGTACGGGAATTGCGTGATTGCCGGCAACCACCCTGCGGGAGTGACTCTCTAGGCAGATTTTATTCGCAAGACGACAGTGCAAATGGAGGGAATTAAAGTTACTTCGGCAGTGCGACTAATAAAAGCTCGCGACGAATGTAGAACGATGAAAAAATTGCCGTTGTCTGTTCAACATCTATCGTGGAATTATTTGAATAAAATAAGAAATTAATTATTATACCGGCAATTTAACATCCACATGTAATTTCATCTACAATAAACAGTGAAAGATCTGCCGGTAAGTCAATGAAGCTACAAGAGTGACAAGAGTGACATGCTGGTAGAAAGCTAATTCGATGATTTTTCTGCTCTTTTTCTATTTTAAAGTCTGCATTTATTATTTAGTTAAATAATAATTACATTCAGATAAAATGTTATTAATTATGATAAACGCTTTATTGCTTGTTTATTTATTATGTAATATAATTAACACGTGCTTTCCATGCGTCTTATGTCAATTTTCATATACGTTTATCAATCTTTGAAAAATCTGCCTAAATTTTCGACAGACTTTTTTTTATGGTAACTTAGTTAAACAGGAATAATTAAAAAGTAAAAAATAATTAATATTATATAGAATAGCTGACTCGCTGCAAGTTATTTGCTTACTTTTGTTTTTTACAATGTGCGACGAAGCATTGTTTTATATTTCTTTTGATTTCTTCAAAGGCCAAAGTATTCTCCTTTGTATTCTCGTGTATGTCTCACATCTTCAGCCCTTGTTTCAGACGACGAGTTCTGAAGCCACCTTTTCGACTACTGTCTATTTCTACCAATTTAAATTAACTTTACTCTCGGTTCAACTTATATTTATCTTCTTTTTAGTCGCGAGAATTAATAAAGTTTGATAGTTAGTCCAGTTTTAAAGTTACGCTGCATTGATGGAAATGTACATAAAATTTGTAAACTGTACTCTTCTTCCTCCCAAGAATATTAACTTCGAACTGTATAGAGAATGTAGGTCCATTGTCGACAGCAAACTCGCAAATTTCGATCGCCAATCTCGAAAGCGTCATGCGTAGAACTTGTATCACTAGCGCGTATATATTTCAAAAAGGTCGTATCGATTTTTTCCTCAGTATCCCGAACAGCAAATTTGCATACAATTTCACCCCGAGGTGAGCGCAAGTTTTCTATGTACACATCGAGTATGTCGAGCGAATCCCGTTACGAATGAATCTTTTATGCTGCGTCGCGGTTAACGGATAGGAAGTTTGAGCTCCCGTAGTTGCGGGACACGTAACAAGGTGTTACGTTTGTAAGGCGTCATCGTTTCGCGCCACAAGATAAATTTCCTCTCGCGCCTCTTCGTATCCGCAGATACCAATTTTCGCTTTTATCAACGTGATTTTTTTCCGCGAGATATTTTTCTCACTTAAATTACAATAAATTCACACGCAGCTGAATAACAGTGCGACTTCTTTGCGGTCGTTCGCGCCCGAAGAAGATCTCGACTCCGATTTGCGAATGTAGAAAACAGGGGGAATAATACTCGAGGCTTTTCTTCAAAGTTCGAAAATACCTTCAAAATTTTAAGCAACGAAATACGAGAAGCGCGAGAATCTATCTAGCTCGCTCACCCCTCTTTATTCTTCCGCGGCGCGGCGGCGCGATCGGTCTTCTCTTACCGCTGTTCTTTCCTTTCGTGCTCGCGATTCTCGGTACTGTTGAACATACTATGTACAATATATCACATTTCGCATGCCGAGCTCCCATATCAACGGTACTCAATCGGGTTTCCTCTTCAGACAGCTAGTTGCGCTTCACGCGAGAGCCTCACCATTACCGTCGTCGCTAAACCGCAATCGATCGCAAAGTACACCGCCGCAGGTGGTAAACATAAAAAAATTATCATGTAGTGCAGTGTAGCATTCCAGTATTTACGATTATTGTAATTGCAAATTATGAGAGACTCATAGACGATTTGCGATAATTTCTTGGATTTGCGGCGCCCGTTGATAGTTTTACTTTGCAACTTCTTACAGCGCGGGAATACATTGCGTAAATCGTTAAATTTACTGACGCTCGGTGATACTGATCAAAGGTAAAATATACGAAAAGCGCATAGTTGGTGCAACAAAAGAATAAAAGTGTAAGTATTGACGGCTTTAATATAAAGATTGCAATTAATTCTTGGGCACATGACTCGCTGGAACTTAAAGATTTATAAAATCTCAAGTAGAGAAACTGTTTCCATAGATTTAAAGGGTACAGTATTAAAAGATGTTGAGATTTCTCTGAAAAATAAAGAAGAGGAAAGAGAGGAAAAAGGAGAAAATTTATTCAAAGATATCGTAAAAAGTGTAATTATCGAAAATACTTCTCAAACACCCATTCAATTGTTTGAGATGAAACTTAGACAACATTAAAAAGGTATAATCGAAAAATTAAAACGTTTCAATCTAGTTGAAAATTAAATGGAATATTATTAAAAATAAAATTTACCTCTATCCACGATGTAGTTTTCTTTCGTATATAAATAGAAATATTTTGACGAAAATATTTCACTACGGATATAATAAAATTTTGCTAATACGTATTTGAAAATTTCTCTCAATTAACCTCGTTTTATTATCACTGCATCCGTATTTCAGTAAAAATTCAATGAAAAATTATTTTCATTAAAAAACAGTTTTTAGTTAAATGTAATAAGTTTTATAATTTTATTATTACTTTTTACAGTATCCCTTAACTTAATTTATGTATATTTTACAGCATTACATTTTATTTAATGAGGAAAATTATGATTCATTTGGAGATACATTCAACATTTTTTCAATAACTTTTGTTTGAGTTTTCGTCGAATTTCAGCAAAATATTTCCATCGGGGTATTTAGTAAATTAAAGAAATCCAAAGTGAAAACTTGACAGTGATATTGCCAGGAGAACCAAGACAGTAAAATGTAGGTTACATGTATATCTTCTACTTTGTCTATATACATATGTATATAGTATTAAATACAAATTTAATATATGAAATTGAATGTATTATTTGCATAATATAACGTTTATTCTCGCGTTCTTATTTAAAAGAGTTGTAGCAACAACTGTAATAAAAAAAGCACACGGAGAGCATTTTCTCTCAATATATTTATCCTGAAAATTATGTGGTCGTGGGATAACATGGGTTTTTGAAGAGCTTTATGAGAGTTTTTCGAAATTTTACCAGTAAAATGTAACTAAGTATAATTACTAGTGAAATAAATGGTAAAATTTAAAAAACTCTCACAAGATTGAAATACCGTGTTGCCCCACGATTACACGATTTTCAGGATAAATTTTAAGAGAAAATTCAAACGCGCTTTGTATCAATTTCATTCAGCACGTCGGACACGTAAAATTCCATAAAACACACCAGCTTCACTTTCAGAAATGAGCAATGTTGCCAAGCGATTTCCAAACACAAAACATTAATTATTCATATTTCATGATAATATTAACATAGCAAAAATTATGACTCGGAATTAAAAATTGGCGCTCAATATTACCATTTTATTATAATAAATCATAGCCTTTTTTATTATTAAAAAGTTTTTCTATTTTACATTAGTATTGCTAATGCACAAGGACAGGCGTACATTTCCCCGTAATCTGCCCCTGCAAATAATCGATTATATTTCCTTAAGGCATGAATCATGAATCGAATATCAATGACCAACTTCGCGGACGGCAATCTTTAACGTACAGGCCTCTCGTGCTATGCTAATTACGTGCAGACGCGATAGCGACGATAACTTTCTACACGAGAAAACTATTGATTTTAATCAAAGACAAGTAGCGAATAATTACACAATCGCAAGGCTATTCTAATAATGGTATTCGCGGAACGCCTTCGCTAATTAACCTTAATGAATGGTCAGGCGCACGATATTCGCAATGTGAGTACAACACAGTGAAATATATCTGCGCGATTAGTTCCGTGCTATCATTAATTTTGAATTCGCTTATACACGCATAAATTACGTACACGTGTAAAATTGCAGAATTTAAAACGCCCTTGTTCTTATACGACTTATTGTTCTTACGTTTGGACGGAGTCGTGCAAAATTATAAGCACAACGGTCTAGGAGAGCACATTGTTGCATCCGCTTAAAAATTATTTTTATCGCGTTCTTATCAGGCTGCGCCGGGCCACTTTGTGATCTGTCGCGCCGGTATTCACATTTGACATTGACCCTTCGCCACATCTCCCGTTATCTCGTCACTTCTAAACGTTAATTTTTATATGCGTATTTCTGCGGGGCGTTTGCCGCAGATACACACAATCGCCGATTATTGCGCACACGAATTTCTCGGTTTGCCGAGAATAAAAAGAAGTCGAACAGAAATTTCAAGCGTTAATTTGTTGGCGCGGCAAAGTACGTAATGGCGTTATATAAGCTATTTCTAATTTGCTCAGAATGCCGATAATATCAAGAGCATCCGAAAACCACTTAAATATTACTGTTACTTCCTGCTGATAAAGGGATTCGGGATCTAAGAATATGGTAAAGTCCTTTAAGTCCTAGAAGCTCTCTACGCGCTTTGCTATTTTTTAATCCTTGTAATTCGAGCTTTAATCAACATTTTTAGACCACAATTGATATTGTTTTAGAGATTTAGAGATGAAAAGTTGCTCCTTTCGTTAGTTGGTGATAGAGTGGGAAGGAAAAAATACAGGTTAAAAGTGGAGATAAACAAAAAAGTGAGTCCTATCTTATATTTTTTACAGTTTTATACAAACTAATAAATGATTTCGTCTATCTTCTTAAGTAGAAATTTCGTTATAGATCACTCAAATAAATAATTATTATATATCGATATGTAATCTACTCACTAAGGTAGACAAAGTTATTTATTAATAAGTAAGCTTTAGTCGACCTTAACTGGCACGTGTTTAATAAAAGAAAAATGCAATGCGACGTTTCGACCAAGTTATTTATTATTTGAATATTTATCTGAAAAAGCGCTATTTTTTCACTTTCCCTACTTTTAATCTTTCCTCTAGCTTTAAATCTTCTTTCAGATAGTCCATTATATCGCCGACTAGATTTTCGGAAAGAGAGAATGACTTCTTTTACCTCTGAATACCAATTACGGTCTAAAAGTTTTGATTAGGACTCGAGTTACGAGGATTAATAACAAGAAACCGCGTGTATAGGAGTCTCCTAGGACTTAAATGAGTTAATTTAACACATGAAGAGAGATAATTTCGTAACACAACATATTTTATGCTGTTATAGTAAATTTCATCAGTTATAGGCAGCAATGCAATTAGTTAAAACAGCATTTATTTTAAGTTAAACAATGATTTTGCTAAATTGGCAAATTAATTATAACAGCGAAATTTTATCTTTGTCAAATTGAATGCAGTAGCGGCAACAGTTTCGCTGTTTTGAAATTTTACCATACACTTTACTATTAAAATGTATACCAACGAGTATAATTACTAGTAAAATGTATGGTAAAATTTCAAAAAACTTTCGTAAAGTTCTTTGAAATGCCGTGTTGTTCCACGATTACATGATTTTCAGGATAAATTTTACGAGAAAATTCTTTCCGCGTACGAAATTTTTTAACGCTATTATATACCTATATTTTTAACGTGCTCTGATACATTTATCTACATAATATCTGGTATTATCTGCATTGTCGTTATCATCTGAAGTAGACAGAGAAAAGCGTTATTCAACATTGTTAATCGCGTGCTGGGTCGTCAAACTCGTTCTTGATCTTCATTATTATCTCGATCGAGACGCGCGTCACGGGCCACTTGATCCCGTCACGTTCGGACAACACTGGCTGCTCAGGTCGCTCCCACTCAAGTTGTCATTTGACATCTCCGCGAGGACACGCTTAAGCTGCACGGACTTTGCACTGCTACGCAAAGTCGATCGTAACAGAGAAGCGCCTCGTACACAGCTAGTTTTTACGGTTACTCGATTTACTTGAATTGCGCACACTTTGTTATCTATTTTATAAAGAAGGACACTAAATCGCGTCAACGGGGATTTCTTTCATCGAAGAGCAAATATTGCGGTCTTCCTTGGTTAAAAAGAAGATACCTACCAATTTTAAAAAGAACTTTGCATCTATAATTATAGTTAGTTCGCTCTTCTCCCTTTGGACATCTTTTAAATCGTCGAGTCACTCTCGGTAGTTCCATATTAAAATATTCCGAGCGATTGTAAAAGTTTTCCTATCAGTTTGAGTTACTTTCAGTGGATGAAACGCGAACTCCGTTTGTGTTGTTCCTCCTTCTCTTTGCTCAACTTGGTCCACCGGGTGTAAGTCTAGCGTGACAAATATTGGCATCCCCTAGGACGATGAAGAATTCGAACGGCACGAAGAACCCCATAGATACCGCGGATCCGAACGAAAGTACTACGCTAAGGCCGAAGTTGGAGACCTTCGACGATATCTTGCCGTATGTCGGCGACTTTGGCAGATATCAGTGGCTGCTTCTATTGGCCTTGCTTCCCTACAGCGTGGCCTACGTCACCCTATACTTCTCGCAGTTCTTCCTCACCCTCGTGCCGCAGGAACATTGGTGCAAGATAGAAGAACTGATCCCTTTAAACCTTACGCAGGAGGAAAGGTAAAATTTCTACGACAACGACACTTGAGACACAATTCCCGAATTAAAGTGTACCTTTTATTATATTGCAAATAATGCGCGTGTTTAAATTTATATTATAATTTAATTAAATTAGTAAGGCTCGTGTATGTGTTAAACACAAATTTCAAAGAATTTAAAGGACTCAGAGCCGTGACAGGGTGGTAGTGTATAAATATTCTATTCTAAATTTATTGCGAAAAAATACCCTGGCCGAGGTGATATTTTTTTGCAATAAATTTAGAATAGAATATTTAGACACTATCACCCTGTCACGGCTCTGAGTCCTTTAAATTCTTTGAAATTTATAATTTAATTATTATTACATTGAACGTTTGAAGCCTGTAACTTGGTAGAATAATTTTGGATTGTGGAACGGAGTTGTTTTAAAAGTCGGCTAATCGCTAAAGTCGTCCATCCTGTCCAAACACGTTATCGTCTACTTATTATCGTCTGCCCTCGAAGAGATATTTCGTACATTAGAAGTCGATGTTTTCAGAGTGGAGATCGGCGCACCAAGGTCGCAGAATTATCCGTATTACGATCGATGCCATCGGAGGGATTTCAATTTTTCTGTTATTCTAAATCATAGGAAGGACATTCGTTCGATCGAATTGAAGGCAAACAGAACCGTGGATTGTAGCCACGGATGGGAGTACAATTTCACGCTGATCCCGTACGCCAGCATAGCGGCTGAGGTGAAGTATCTTTAAATGTATCACCGTGTGTATAAAATATACGGAAAAAGAGAGAGAGAGAGAGAGAGAGAGAGAGAGAGAGAGAGAGAGAGAGAGAGAGAGAGAAGACGAAAAATTAATCTCCTGTAACTCCCGTGCATAGTAACGTGGCGTTTTTCTCGCGCACTGATTCTGGACCATTTGTGATTAGCTAGATTGGGTATGTGACCAGGAATATCTCATATCGACGGCACAGTCGATCTTCTTCTGCGGCTCCATCATCGGCGGTTTACTGTTCGGATGGATCGCCGACCACAGAGGCCGGATTCCCGCCTTGATGCTCTGCAACGGCATCGGGTTCCTGGCCTCGGCCGCAACCGCGAGTGCGAATACCTTCTGGTCCTTCGCCGCCTGCAGATTCTTCACCGGTCTGGCTTTTGACAATTGCATCAACATCCCGTTGATTATCGGTGAGAGATGATCAGGGGAATAGGAGAATCTTTCCGTCCGTTCAATATTACGTATGCGGAGATATGCGGTCACATGTTTCATTTTTCTAACATTACGTGTTACATAAATCTAGACTGCGGATCTCGATGGCAATGACGCGCGTACGTGTCCGTACATAGCTTTCAATATAATGAATGGTATTACGTGTAAACTATCCGGAAGAACTCGATATGTAGATGAAAGATCATTGTATTCGATCTGTGACGTGTTTTATGAATATTTATAGACGTGAATATTACGGCGCGCAAATTATACTGTATGTAATTACCGTTGCTAGCCGTTTTACGTAAACTATTAATTAAAATCGCTTGCTATTAATTGATCTGTTAAATCGAACGCTCCGGCACTTCTTCTTCTTTGTTTTTTATAAATCTCGCCAGTGCTCGAGTACATGGCCGTGAACAGACGAACCCTCGTCGTTAACGTTGCCTTCGGCGTATACTTCGCCGTGGGAAGTACAGTTCTGCCGTGGATCGCATATTACGTCGCAAATTGGAAATTCTTCGCCTATGTCAGCGCAATCCCGATGATCAGCGCCTTCATCACACCGTGGATTCTTCCCGAAAGCGCACGGTAAACAAATGTGTCACGCACATCTTCAATTTACTTCACTCAATCGTGCAAAATCACAGACACAAACCTTATTATTAATACACTATAATAACTATCAGGATTGTGCAGTAACTCGTTACTTGTAACGAAGTTACAGTTACTTTTTTTGGTAACTTTAACTTAACTTCGTTACTTTTCCTTCATCTGTAACTTAACTCGGTTGCATTAATAGTTACTTTATTTATTTTTAAACCTCCGCAGATCGCATTAGGCCTTGCATTTGCGCATGAAAGCCTTTATCGACACTTAACAATTCAAATGTGAATTTGATCTTTTTATTTTCATTGCAAGAAAGTAGAGAAATAATTTGTCGATCGACGTCGATATGTGATCCGACGATGTCGATTTGGTGATTTGGACATCAATTCGGGCATCGTTTCGACGAGTCACTTTTCGTTGGGCAGTCAGATATAAATTATTAAAATTAACGTCTACTAAATGTCTAAAGGCCCGTGTTCACGATGCTAGAACTT